GGCTGGATAGAGGCCCTTTTTTCCCCCTTGCTGTTCCTTCCTGCATCAAAATGTGATTTTTTTTTTTTTAAGCTGGAAAGCGCCATCGTGGAGCCCCAAGGCAGAGCAGGACAGTTTTCATTCTGGCCCATGATCTGACCACGGCCCGCAGTTTCCATCATGCATTTAGCATCATTTGTCTGTTACAAGTGCTTTTATGCCACCCGTTCAAATGAATCTAAGGGTCTTACACAAACTATAAACAATTATAACCAAGGTTTAACAACTATACAAGTGTCTCTCTCTCTCTCTCAACAACACAGTCATGATAACAAGACTCCTGCTCTTCGTTCTGGGGCCAGTTGGTGCTACAATGATGGTTCACTTTGACCACACCAGCTGTTCAGTTTGGAAGAGTTACAGTGCTATTTCCCAAGCAGATGGGCAGGATTGCGCCAAGAAGACCAGCCTTAGCCGGGGGTTCACCACGGCTCTCCGTGTGTAGGTAGCCCCCAGCGCATTTAAGCCTTAAGGCCTAATGTGGCCTGGCTGGCCCATTTCTCAGGAATTCCTGAGCAATTTTTTCCCCATCAGTTTGCAATAAAAGGAACATGCAGTAACGATTTATTTCTGCAGACAGGTGGGTTAATGCCTCTCTCTGATGTCCTTTCCTAACCATCTCTGATTGCAGCAAACGTTTTGCGAGGGGACCCTTAGCTGATGGCTGTTGAATCAAAGGATTGGCCTGCTCCTCAGCCACGTCTTCAGGAGATGAGGCACCCAAACCTTCTGTTTCACGTGGCCTGTTCCAGGCTTTGGAGAGGCCGTGAAGGGGTCCTGGGTGCTAAGGAAATATAATAATAATGGTGACTGTCCTCCAGTTGGCTGATACAGACTCTGTTAGAGTGCCACCATTTGCTAACAGGCGCTTGGATTTTTGGAGAGAATTGCTCTGGACCATTGTGTCTGCCTACCCAACCTTCATTACTAGCTTAGTGTGGTATGGCGGTGAAAGTTTTGGACTGTCTCCCCTTCTCTTTTGCAGCCACACCACCCTGCGGATTCCGATTTCATGTGCAGTCAGCTAAAGTGCTGAGATCTTTTTCACAAGTACCATTGCCAAGCCAGAGAACTAATCCTGAATTTGATTTCTGTTTTCCTAATGCGTAACTTTGCATTTGTCTGTGTTGAAGTTCATTCTGTTGTTCTGAGTTGCCCACCCTAATCTGATTACGTGCTATCAAATCATAGTTGACTCTTAGCAGCCACATAGATAGATTTTTTCCAGGAAGGTCTGATCCCAACCTGGTCCTTCAGGTCTTCTAATGGTGCCTCTATCGCCGCTGTGAGTCCTTCACCCCACTGCTGGTTGTCGTCTTCTCTTTCTTCCCATTGATTGATTGATTATGTGCTATCAAGTCTGTGTCAACCCTTAGTGACTGCATAGAAAGACTGTCTCTACAATGAGCTGCTCCCAAACTAATCCTACAACAGTGTCCCCATCACTACTGTAACTGAGTCCATCCTTTTTGCTGCTGGTCGTCCTCTTCTTCTCTTTCCTTCCACTTTCCCAGCATCAGAGCCTTCTCCAGAGAGCTGGGTCTTCACATCACGTGTCCAAAGTAGAATCGTTTGAGCGTGGTCATTGGTGCCTCGAGTGAGAAGTCTGGGCTGATTTGTTCAAAGATCCATCAGTTTGTTTTCTTGGCTGTCCGTGATCTTCTCAGGCGTCTTCTCCAACACCAAAGTTCAGAAGCACCAATATTCTTCCTATCCTGCTCCTTCAAAGTCGAGGTTTCGGTGCCATAGAGGGTCACAGGGAACGTCTTTCCCAAATCTACCACTGTCATTTGGGAAATAGATCTTCTCTGGCCCACTTTTGGTCAGTTTCCTGTGCTTTCAGGATGTTCTTCATATACTTTCTTCATATATTTTCTTCAAAAAATCAAACCCCAAATCTGATAAGTCCTGCTTATCTTAACTTTTTTATAAGTCCTGCTTATCTTAACTTTATCGCTTATTGTTACTTTTCGTGGCTTTTACCGTCTTTTGGCATTGGATGATTCTGAACTTTAGTCTCTCCGATGCTGTGGCTGCGACGCCCTGTCCTTTTGCGGCCAAACGCCTCTTCCATTTCCTGTATGTGCCCTTTGAAAAAAAGAATTGTTTTGTTTTCAAATCTGGGTTTTCTTTTTTTGCCTTTGTACAAAATCTCCCTCGCTGGGCTCGCTTCCCCCTATGCTTTTAGCCTAGTTTTTTCTTTCAATGTAATTGTTATTAACGAGAATTTTAAGAGAATAAAAATAATACCTGTTTTGAAAAAAGCGTAAAGAAAAGTAATAAGTAAGTGGGAAAAAAGTACAAAGAAAGAAATAGAGAAGAGAAAGAAAAGAAAGTTATAAAGAAGCAGCTTCCAATCTTCTTAACAGCAGTTACAAGTACATTTATATTTCACCCTCCCTTTCTAAGGTTACAACATAATTTCCTTCTTTCCGTAATCTACCCTTTCTAATCATCCAACCCATAAAATTACAAGTTGCCATGCTTTTAGCATAGTAATAATTTTTAAAAAAGAATAAACTTGCTTGCAATTATGCTTTTTGGCGACTCCTTTCCTTTCTAGGAATTTCCACCCACTTGGAGCTCTCCTCTCCATTTGCTGCAGTGAAATCCATTGCTTTAAAAAAATAATAATTTTAGTTCGTAATTTGAAAGAATACGGATGAAAAGAATATAAGTAAAAAAAAAAAAAAGATGTAGAACACAGAAGAAAGCAGAAAATAAGGCACTGATAATTATCCGTATTGGGCTTCAAGTAGAGTGTATTTGGTTAAAACAGTAAGAAACTGACAAAACTGTAGATAAGAAGCAGTATGTTAGATCAATACTAAAATTATAGATCCTGTGTATCAGTGAGTTCATTAAAACCCACTTTTTGAGGGCAAAGATACCTATTCAACTGCATTCCTCTTCGGTTTCCCTTCCAATCAAGGAATCCAGCATAGCGTAATCCAAGTTATAGAGTGGTTGATTTGACTCACTTTGCGCTTAACTATAAATCTGGGTTAACCCAACCTTGCCTGGTCCCGTCACACGCCGGGCCCAAATTGATGAACGAGGAAGACAGTGCGCTGAACTAGCGATGTTTGCAGTGGGGAGCCAAAGCGGTCAGTCCGACGGAAGCAGCGTCGGGCATTGCAACGAGAGCCTTGCCCGTTGTAACGAAGGCGAGATCCTGTGGCTGTTGTGGTGCTGAACGGCAAACCGGTTCGCTCCGCTGGAGCCTTCTGCGGATTTAACCGGGGATAGTTCAGCGACGAGACGGAGGTTTTGCAGGCCTCTTCTTTACTGGAGAGGCTCAAGGGGGTGGGGTGGGGTCGGGGGGCTCCTCTCAGGAGTGTTCTTGGCATACGCTCCCTTGCTGATCCGAGAAGGCGATGTGTGGCTCGGCCAGCCCTTTGAAGAATCGGCTTCTTCTGAGCGATGTTGGCACCTGCATTTCTGCTGAAAGGACAATGAAACCCACATAGCATTCCCACGAAGCTCTGTGCTAGAGGAGAAGAGGGTGGCAGGCCTGGGGAAGGTGTCATCCAGGACGATTAATCTCCTGTCGCCGATCTCCGTCACGGAGAAGCCCTGATAGGAAATGTACAGTAGGAAGCAGGAGAGGCTAGTTATATTTCACCCTTTCTCTCCTCTTGCCTCCTAGGCGGTTTATTTTCACACGTCTTTGGATCATCCCAGCATCCTACTGGTCCTGGAGGTCGTGGCCACGGCTGAGAAGAGGCAGGACGCAGGCCCCCAGGAGCTGTCATGCGGCTTCGGGGTCCTCCGTTTGTTTAACAGCAAATCCGAGCCAGCGAATTTGAACTTGACAGGCAAAGGGTATGTTGGTCAGCCTTTTAGTGGGATCAGCTCTTTGCGGTTGGATCTGTGACTAAAAGCCACTCTTTCACGGCTCTTGCCAGTCCCCTAAGAGCGGGCCCCCTTCTTCCCTCTGGGGTGGTACTTAGCACCTTGCAAGGGGCATGGCTGGCGTACCTTGGGGTCAGCATCCTAGATGAGGCTCAAATGTATCGCCCTTTTCTCGTTTTAGAGAGCTAGGGAGAAGACTGAAAGCCAAAATGGGTGCCTTCTGCCGTGCAGAACTTTAAACCAACCATTTTGCCTCTTGGCCCCCAAACTCTCCTCCCCTCCCCATGCAGAAGAAGGACCCAATTCACCCACTCCAGAAGTTCTGAGGGCTGAACATGAGGCCTGGGGATTGTCCTGCCCTGATGCTAGAGCAGTGTTTTTCAAACTTGGCAACTTTAAGATGGGTGGACTCCAACTCCCAGAATTCCCCAGTCGGGGAAGAACACTGCTCTAGATCTTTCAGATATGTTTTAAAAAAAAGAGCCCCAAAGAGGTCTTTGAATAAAATTGGCTAATTGGAAAAGATGGGACCAGACTCCTGATTTTTTTAAAGATTTTTTTCTTTATCCTGCCTTTATTATTTTTATAAATAACTCAAGGTGGCGAACATACCTAATACTCCTTCTGTTTTCCCCACAACAACTCTCCTGTTGGCTGAGGGAGAGGGGCTGGCCCAAAGTCACCCAGCAGGCTTTCATGCCTAAGGTGGGACTCGAACTCACCGTCTCCAGCTTTCTAGCCTGGTGCCTTAACCACAAGTCTCCTCCTACAGTGTCGAAAAGAGGGACAAAAACATTTTGCTCTTGCAGCTTGGCTCTCAAGAACTCCTGTTATTTTTTTATTTTTTATTTTTTAACATTCTCTCTGATCCTCCCTTTTCTCTCTGCAGGCTCAGTTTGTACCCTGGGACCCCACGCGCTCTCTTGCACCCACTGCTGTTGGAGCCCATAGAGAGTAAGTCCCAGGGCACTCGGTCATTTGCATGGGCTGGGCCCTGCATCCTTTGCACGTGGAAAATCATGGCTCATGAGGAAAGCGGCCTTGGAAAGATGCAGGGGGAGGGGAGAAATAGAGAGAGGTTATTGGAGCCCAAATCATAATTGCCAAATTGTGTACCCCAAGAATAAAGCCAGTGAGCTTGAAGTGTCCCCAGTGTCTGTTATGTCTCTGTAAGATTACACGTTTTGCCAATTTGTAAATCACCTCTTGGATAATTAAATCTTCTCTCTGATTGCAACAACTCCTTAGTTCTGATATAGACCCAGACGAACCCCCCTCCCCCTGTTGTTTCTCTGTATGATTCATTGCCCTGAAAGTACCCCACTCTGCCAGCAATAAAGCCCCCTCGCACGTTAACCCAGGCAGTGGAGCTCTCCATGAATGAATCTCCTCATGGCTCTCCTTAATACTAAGTCATTTGTGGTAAGAGTGTCCGATGTGTTTCTGGTTGCGTCCAGACAAAAAGCACACCTCCGAAATTTGTGAAACCCTAATTCAAATTGTCCTGATGCAGATTTAATTTATTATCCTACGATTTGCCCCCCTCCCTCCCTCCCCTCTAAATGCTCATCCAATGCTCCAAACAATTGGAATGTGTTCTACCACAAAGTTGTTTCTAGAAATTCTGGGAGCAACCAGAAATTTAGTCCTGACCAAAGGGATGTGGCTTACTTTTATGGGATATCTCGGGGCTCTTCTGCATTTATTGCTGCATTAAAAATGTCCTTTCTCCTCCTCTAGAGAACAAGTACTTAACAGCGATGGAAAACAGTCAGCTCCAGTGCACTTTTCAGCCCCACCCACCCTTGGAGGTCATCTACCATCTCCTTCCTGAGAATACCCCCGTATCCAGCTCGCAGAGTATCCCTGGGGTCTTAGCAGCACCTGAAGGTACACGTAACAGTTGCCTTTTCTTTCTTTTTTGCAGGGTGCAAGGCTGACATGCACTGTAGCTACCCCCTCTTTTGCCATTTACTTTATCACATTGCCAGAGGCAAAAACCTAAGTTAGCCCCCACGCACGACGGTGCCGAAAACGAAATTTGAGCTGATAGTATAGTTGGTTCTTCTATCAATAAAATATCTCCAGAATATCAAGGGTGGTCAAAAGTGGTCATAATGCTTAGATAACCTTGGCTGATCTTGGAGAAGGCTATAAGGAGGTCAGATCTGCTGAGATGGCCCATTTGCTTGGATGGGAGACCACTCAAGAATCCCAGGAGGGCCAAAACTCAGAAACAACACCACAGAGAAAATGACCAACTCTTTCAGTATTGTTGCCAAGAAAACGGCATCGGTGATAAGAGTCACGCTCGATCCGAAAAAGACTTTATCTTTTTAATATCCAAAATTCTCAGGGGAGGTTTTGCATGCTCTTGCTCGATGCGGAGGGGGATTTGGGAACTGAAGGCACATTTTGCAAAATCCCTATTTGAAACAGCGCTCGCCTTGCCTTGTTGGGGCAGTCGGTGACAGAGGTGAATAACCTTGTGAATCGGAGGCTGATATATCCAGGTGGATATTAGCTTCTCTTGACTTGGTGTCCTGCTCTTTGGAGGACTCCAAGTTCTGTGCCTGCGACCCTTCGGGACTTGATTATGCCACAGGCCTTGGGGGTCTGTCCTTGGGACTTCCCAGCTGGTGTATCATTTGGCAGTTCACTGCTCCTGAAGGATTGGCCATCCAGAGCTTGGGGTTGGTGACCCCCCACTGTGACCATCCCCCTTTCAACCCGCGGGTTAAGATGCTGTTTGAAACCTACAGAGGTCTAGCTCTACGCAGGCTGAAGACTTGACTTGAAATTAGATCCTCAAGGGGATCTGCCAAATTTGGTTGCAAATGTGGGGTTGAGCCCAGACATATTTTGCCAATGAGGTTAGTTTAGGTCAGTGTTTCTCAACCTTGGCCACTTGAAGATATGTGGACTTCAACTCCCAGAATGCTGGCTGGGGAATTCTGGGAGTTGGTCCACATACCTTCAAGTGGCCAAGGTTGAGAAACACTGGTTTAGGTTATTTCCAGAATAAGTTGGTAAAAGGCCAGTGAAGTCACCCCCAACAGCTTTATGGCTTTTATTCTTTTTTCCTTATCACTTCCGCAGCCCTCCTGCCCCGTTCAGCAGAACAAACTCATAAATACCTTCCCCATCAGCCTGCGTCCTTCCCTGAAAATCTATTCCCTCCAAAGTTAATGCTCCGATCCTTTAGTCAGCGTTTGCTCTCCTTAATCAGGAAAGCTCAGCACTAAAATATTCCTTGCTTCCTGGACATAAAAGAGCCGACAGCCTGAAATTGGTGGCAAATGGACACTTCCAGCAAAATGTGCCCTGTAATTTGATACACCGAAGTGTTAGCTAGCAGCTTCGGCGAACCCGAGAAGGTGCGTTTGGCTCCCCAAATTGAATTAAAGCGGATTCCAACAAATTACCCTTTCTAACACGAGGACCTCGGATTCTCTGCACCTCCTGCTGGTTTCCAACTCTTCCACCCGCCTGACAGTATTTTGTTTGGTCCTGTTCCCTTGCTTTTTTTCAACGTGGCCCCGTTACAAGCCGTGGAAGGCGTGGGAGGGGGATGGGGGGGCAGGAAAAGCAAGGTAATCAGCTCTCTGCTCTTTAGAGGAAAGTCCTCTCTTTTTTTCCTCCCTTCTGAAACCTTCCCCACATACATCTGAAGCACCTCCCTGCGCTTCAGGGATGTTGAAAATGAACAGCTCGTCCTAGAAGCCCAGTGCAAGTTGGACCAAGTTAGGGATCTCTGTAACCGCTAAGGAAGAGGAGCCAGCTTCGCCCCGCGTTGAAGATGAGCTTGGAAAGGCCTCGGTTCAGATCCTATCGAAGCTGTGAGATTGCTAAGCTTGGTAAACTCTTCTCCCCTCCGTTCTGTGGGCATAGTAACAGCGGTGTGACTTTCAGGACCCTCAGAACTACGCCTCGGCTTATTTATGTCATCTTGCAGGCGTGCGGTGGTGTCACCTTCGTTCGACATCTTCTTCAGTGCTTTGCCTTCGTGCTGCACGTTGTGTCGCTTTGGGGCGCCTGATAAATGGATTTAAAAATGACGGCGCGGGGCTTGGAGGACTCTTCAAGCGCTATCTAAATGCTAATTACTGTTGTTGCTTAACCGGCTGCAAAGGACGGGTGGGGGGGGGAGAACAGACCATAATGTCACAGAAATGGAAAGAGGGAGGTGGCCTGCCGCTGGGTGGGCTCTCCCGCTGTCATCTTTAAGGAGCAGCGAGCGTGGGAAGCGTCAGTGGGAAGAAGGATCAGGTTGGGACGCAAGGACACCGTCACAGTTCACTCCGTCGGACCTCATTTCTCTCCGTGGGCGTTTGTTAGGTGTTTGTGCTGTGCTGTGCTGTGGGGGCTGTCTCACCAAGGCAGGATTTGGTGGGCAGACTCCCGGGGGTGGTGGGAGTACAGGTGGCCCTCGTGATCGGTGGGGTTTGTTCTGGGATAAAGCCACAGGTAGCAGAACCACGAATGGCAAAGCCTTGTGCTTCGGTTTTTGGTCCTTTGGATCGTCCTCTTCCTCCTGTAGAGACCCTCTTCCTGCTTGAAGGGGCGGGGCCAGCTGAGATCTCCAACGCTGTGCTTGGGGGCTTCTGAGGCAAAAGGGTGCCCCAACCACAGTGCTGTGAGGCCGTTGGAAGGAGCATTGCAGTGATCGAGAGGCCCCTCTGCCAAGATGTCCTATGAGCTGCGTGGCATCACAAAACCAGAAGGAGCCACGCGACGTGAACAGGGCGACGAAGAGTGGATTGCTCCAAAGAAGATGGCGGATGCCACAAGGAAGCCACGGGAAGCTTCGGGATGGGCTGACCAGTGACATCCATTGTAACTGAGAGAACAGGAGCAGATGCCCAGCCCAAACCATCTCATTCCCTTCCTTAAACAAAAAAGTGCTTTGTGCAAAAACGTCTCTCTCTGCCCTTTGGTGTGTGCGTAAAGAGTCCAAAAACACGGCCGCAAGTGCAGGAAAACCTTTCTGGGCACAACACGGTCCGGCCTCTGTTTATCAACCAGGCAGTGAAAAAAAACCCGGATGAGAAGGACCCCTTGCAGAAATCTCTGTTGTCCACCGGGCGTGGAAGGAGAATGCTAGGGCTGTGAGATGGTGTCCAGCTTACAACTTTTTCTTCTGCAGTGTCCACAGGTCCAAAGTGATTGGTGAACTGTGGATTACTCCATAAAGCACGGTTGGCTGGTTCCTCCCTCACAGTAAGCCATCCATCAGGGGCTGGGTTCATGCAGCATGCTAAACCACAAGAAACTGAAGCTACACAATCTCAGTTTGTTTTTCTCTCTCTCTGCTTAAGGTGGTCCACGGAATTCTGTTTTTTTTTCCCCCAGTGATGGATGTTTAGAAGGTAGCATACAGACTCAGTTCCCTCTGTTTCTTCTAACTTGTTTAATACTTTGTTTTCCTTAACTGGCCCCTGTCTCACCAGGGTTTCAGGCAGAAATCCATCCCCGGGGCCTCTAAAGAAGATCATGAACTTGCCTCTGTCCTTCGATTCTTCCCCTTCAGCCTGCCTCTGGGTTTATGTCCTAGCCTTGCTTCTCCCTCCCACGTTGAAGCAGGATATTCTGAAGGCACCGACAAGCATCTCTTTCTCTGGAAAATGAGTTCTTCCTCAGCAAGATTGCAGCTTTGAAGAAGAGCCAGCCTTGGTTGTTCTGAGTGTGCCCCGGTCATCTGATCAGCCAGGTTCAACCCATCTTCTCTGCTCTTCCACAGGTTCTCCTGCTGTGACCTCGGGCGGTCCTTTCCTCGCAGCTGCGTCTGGAGAATTTGAGTAGCTTGATCAGCCACCCTTGTTTGGCAGGCCCATCCATCTCCCACTTTGCAGCTGTTTGGCCGCGAACTTTCCAAGCGACAAGCCTAGCGACCTTGACGCTGGGAACAAAGTCACCCTTTGCCGTGCGGAGCGCCGAAGTCACACCTCTCCAGCTCCCATTAGTGTAATAGAGATAGATGGGTCCTCTAGGTGGAAGACTGTGGCCTTGTTCTCAGATGACGTGAGGGTCAGAAGAGCTATTCCAGATCCTCCTTCAGCTCTCCCCTGCGCTGTGGTTCTGCTCAGGCCCAGCTGTAGACCTGGGATGGCCAAGCCAGCAGAAACCTCGCTTAAAAACAATCTTGAGATCTTCCCACAAAATCCAGAAAGTTCAGATGTGTTTGGGGTGTTTTTAGCCAGCTGGACTGACTCAGTAAAAATCATTTGAACCACTTGTAGTTTGGGTCATCGAATTGGACCCTCCCTTGAAAACATCCAGCCAAGGAGAGACCATCTCCACTTTCCTGTCAAATAGTTTTTGCCGCCGGGAGGTTTTTCTCACCATCCAACCAGAATCTGCCTTCCTGAAGCTGCTGTCTGGCGTCCTGTCCTGCGAAATGATGGGGAACTGGGCGTGATCATCTTCTGGACGCTGTCCTTTTCGGGGTTTGAAAAAAGGCGATCTCATCTCCTCCTTGGTGGTTGGAAGCTGGAAGTCAAGGGCAGCAGAACCGCAGCGTGAAAAGGGGCCAGCCTTTAGGGATGGGGAAAGGAGGGCCAAGAACCCGGATTCTGAAAGATGGGAATTGAAATCCCAGCTCTCTCTTGCTCCCTTTCTCTCTCTCTCTCTCTCTCTCTCTCTCTCAAACACAGCCCTACACATACCCCCATCCTGGATTTTATACATATACAGAGTGTACCCAAAGCACTCTCCACAGACAGTGTATTATACATATTGCATTAAGTGTTCCCATCGGTTGCCATTTTCTTCCAGATATTTCCTTACTTGTTTGACACGTGACCTTTGAGCATTCCTAAGTACGGGAACATTTTTCTCTGGGAAAAAAAAAGTTAATTAGTAAAACATTGTGATTGGCCTATAGGCTTTGGCTTTTGATACACCCTGTCCATCCATCCATCCGTCCGTCCGTCTGTCAGTCTATTATCAACCTGAATCATTACCCTGCAGGATGAAGGCCTCTTTGCTGAAGGTAGTGGACCATAATCTACCACACTGCTCCAGTGTGGGTTGGAGTATGTGTGTGTGTGTGTCTGTAAGGCTTGATTCCCATGTTCTGGAGCAAGCTGATCTTCTGTGCCTCTTTGATTTCTTTTGTATCTAGGATAAAAACTGGCTTTCTCGCCCTACCTTGAATTTTCCTTGAATTTCCTGCAACTCTTCACCCAGTTTCTGGGATGAAGCACATCAGCTCTTTCCTACAGACTGAAGTTCTCCAAATTCTCTGTCCTTTCCTTCCCTTCTTTCTTTCCCGTCACTCTCTGAAGCAGGCCCCTTCCTTGCTCAGAGGCTTTCCTTCCTCGCCTCCTCAGAGTAGCTCTCTGGTGCTTTCTAACCAAGAGGAAGCCTAGGAAGGGGGAGTATGGGCACTGGAGTTTCCCTAAGAGGTCCTTCTGTTTTTGGCTCAAGAGAAGGACAGTAGAAAGCATGTATCTGTCAGCCCTTCCTTCAGTTGCGGTGTCATCATGGAGTCTTCCCAGCTGGGATCCTCTTGGCATCATGAGCAAGAGAGGTTTGCTTCCTGGGGTGCTTTGGGAGTAGCACTTGGCAGGTCAGCTCTGACTTGCATGGAAGCTGCAGGAGAGAAAAAGATCCCGTCCATCCCCAGAGCTGGTTGCTGAAGAAGCACCGGGGGACTTCTAAAATTTTTTTTTTCAGGGTTTGCAAAAAACACATTGTCAGAACCTTAGGGATGTGTGATGAGTGTGTGTGCACGTGTGTGTCTGGGGTACACCTTGAGTGTTCACAGGGAATCTTTGCAAGTCACATTAGCCCTCTCTTTCTCTCTGAATGCACAAATAGAACCGAACCTGCACGAATGCCGATATTCTTCCGGATTCCACCAAAGAAATCCTTTTCCCCGGATTGGGGTCTGGGCGTTGATTCTAAACCCATTTTAGTTATTTATTTTACAAGATTTTCGAGTCTCCGGGCGAAGCCCATTCCGAGCAGCATAAATTAAGTTAACTTCACTTAAACCATTAACATCAACAATAAAACAATAACAAGCATCTCCCCTACAGTTTTGAATAAATCATCTGTAATATTCAGTGACTCTGTTTCCCATCTGTAAACTGCAGCCATGTTGGTTGGGTGGGCAGCATGTGATCTTACACTCATATCTGGCCCTTGGGTCAATTTTGAAGAGCTCTTGGACTAATTTTGGACACCCTGAAAATTCCTGCCCTTGACAAAGAAATCTCTCCTTGCGAAAGGTAATTCTCCAGTAGGTTGGACTGTCTTTGAAATGTTGCCGTGTTTTCACATGGTTTGTGGTCTCTGAGGACCCTCCCCGCAACGTATTGGTACCCTTTAAAAGGTTCATTTAAAAAAAAGAAAGAAAAGTGAAGCTCATGTCAGAGACCACACTGCAAAAACAGATTTTCCAAATGACGTTTACAACATCGTTATTTCACTGGCGAGTAATCATTTGTGCATCGGGAATTAAATCAGAAGCAGGTGTCTTTTGATGTAAGGAAGGAAGGTGAGACTCTCTGTCCAATGATGGCAGAGCAGGTTGTGTTTGCCGTCTAAAGTCTTACGGAATATCGCCTTCATTACATTAGTTGATTAGTTCAGCCAATTACTATAGTCCCAGGAACGTTCTGCAGTCAATTGGAGCGAGAGGGCATTTCTTCATCTTAGATCGCAGGCTCCTTGCCTGCTCAAAACTTGTCTTCTTCTGGCCACCAACGAATGACCTATGACATTCAATAATGTTGTCAGTGGGTTGTGAGTTACAGCCTGGCCAGAAGTCAGCTCAATTATTTCCAAGGCAACGTTCAAATACCATTGTTCTTTTCGGCACACTTTCCACCATAAATGAAGAAAATCGGTTCGGACAGTCTGAAATAGCAGGGTTTGGAAATGTGGGTATGATGAATTAGAAGACCAGCTGGGCGGTCTTGCTCGGCTCTCCAAATCAACGAAAATGACATTTGAGGATGTCAGGCAGGGTTGATCAGCTGCAGCACCGCGCACGGTCCCCAAATGATTGATCGTTATTATTTAACATTTATTTATTTTTTGCATGCTTCGGTCGCAGCCTTGGAGATTTCCAAAAATTGCAAGAGAAGGGAAGAGATGATTAAACGCCCACCTAGTTTGGACTCCCCACCTTTGGAGTCCAGGCTCCGGCACACCACTTAAAAGGCAGGCACAGCCCCCCGCTCGGACAAAGCTGCG